TAGTAGTAGTAGTAGTAGTAGTAGTAGTAGTAGTAGTAGTAGTAGTAGTAGTAATGGCAGTTGTTGTTGTTATAGTTTTTGTTGTAGTAGTAGCAGCAGCAGTAGCAGCTGTGGTTGAGAAGGAAGACGAACATACTCAATAAAATAGACTCCTCAAAGAGGAAATCATTGAACTGTCGTCCTTTGTGTGACACTGTTGAGCATAAATATTACACCAGTGCTTCAACTGTGTCCTGAGAAATTGAAGCCTTTATCATGGCAACCCCACCTTCGTCTGTGGTGTAGAGGATAGGCACTTTGCTGTTGCACGCAGGGGACCTGAGTTCGATTCCCGAATGGGGAGAACATTTTTATCGAGCATCAAGGTCATTCTGCTGGGATGTTGTACATGTCCCTCTCAGTTAGGGTTGACCTTTTCAGACAGGTTCGAAAACCCACATCATGAATGATCTAAATCTGGTATTGAAAACAAAAAATACTTGCATGAAAGAAAAAAACAACAACAGATTTATGCCAACTCGCAATAATCAACAACTCTTAAATCACGAGCTGAGTACCGGTTCGATGAACGGAATCAAAAGAATTGATCGTCAAGCCATTGTGGAACAGCGCGTATTTGCTTACAATGGCGTGTTAGAAGACGGACTTTCCCTAAATTAGTTCCAAACGAAACGAATAAAAAACTGAAAATTAAACGACAGTGACTTCAGGCTCCTCAATAAACCTACGCACCCTTTAAATGATTCTGAACCACTGGGTTTTTTTTCAAATTCGAAAGTTAAGTGGTTACGAAGTTTAAGGTGGCTAAAGTGACGAACTTTCAAAATATAATATATAATAGAGATAACATTGCTCACCTGTAGCGCCTTTGGTCTGCACCCACCCAGCCCACAAGACATGTCCGTCCCAGGATCCTCATCGTCCTCCGGGATTTGCTTGGTATCCGGGTCAGAAACCACATCTTTCGCTCCATTGACTGGAAGGAAGGCTTTGCTGTCTTCCCCGAATGTCACTGGAAGGAATCCGAGAGAAAATAATAATTTATTATTATTATTATTTTATTTTTT